GGGGGAAATGGCAAAAAATACCTGTCTTAAGAGGGTTCACTGTACGTGCACCTGATAAAAATCATAACATGGGATCAGCTTTCTTCTCTGCTTGCTCGGCTTTTGGCATGTGTAACTAAGCTCTGGCAGGCAGGGCAAATCTCCTTCTCCCCAGGGTCATTAAAAAAAGACCATTTCCCCATTTAAAGAGCGTGAGGGAGGTGGGGATGGAAAGGGGAGCTGAGCCAGGCAGCGGGCGAGCCCTGCCCACGCTGCTGTGCGAGCTTGCAGGGCCGGGGCTCTCCCACCCCCACCGCTCTCCACAGCGTCAGGCACGTGGGATTCAGGGGGGCTGGATGGGTATGAAAGGAAACACACATCTGGAAGTTCCTCCAGTTAATTGGGCAATTATTCATACCACTCTTGCTGTAAGCAGCCTGCTACTGCTGTGCCAAAAGCAACAACAACAGACCGTGGGCATACTCCATCCCTGCTCTGAGTGGGGAGCATGTGTGGGGAGGTGGGGCTGTGGAGGGCAGGTTAAGCTGTGAGGGCATGGACCCTCTACTCCTGGGCTGCTCTGCTTGCTCTAGAGGTGGGTGGGGAAGCCCTGGAGACCTTGGATGTGGTGAGGTGCTGGGGAAGCACTTGCTTCACAGCGCATGTGGGCCCCAGGTGGGGAGGGGGAAGCTGCTGCTCTGGAGCACCATGAGAACCCAAGTCAACCTGTGTTGGGTTTTATTAGGAGCTTGGCAGGCTGTGGTGTTGGTGAAGGTAGTCCAGGCCCAGCTGTGCTCTGTAGCACTTTACTCCTCATAAATAGTGGATTCACTGCCATTTCTGCCCAGTTCCCACCTGAGCAAGGCTCTGGCAGCCCATGTTCACCTTTTCCATCCCTCCTCCTTCCCCTTTCTCACATCCCTGGTTTCTCCTTAGTCTGACAGCCATGTCACTGCATGTCCCCATCCCCTGCCAGTCTCTAGTACCAGTGCTGTGCAGCTGAAATGCTGAGGGAGTGCAGAGCTGGCAGGTCTTTGCTTTGGCAGTTCATTCCCTGGGACTTGCCTGTGAGATGAGAGCTGAGTGTGAGCACTTCAATCCAAGTGACTTTCCCCGTGGCAGAGTTAATGGGCCTCAGCAGATCCTCAGGGAGATGATGTGCAGGGGGACCCTGGACACCATCAGCTTTGAAGCATTGTCTCCTCTCTATATCCGGTGGGATATAGGGTTGCTCCTGAGGCTGAATTCTCTGTCAGTGTCTATAAGTGGGACAGACCACATCTTGAAAGCATTCCCCTGGAACCCTGGCTGACTGCTGTTTGAGTGCTTTGCTGTTCCCTCCTCACTGCTGGAGCCCACAGGAAGCCAACCCCTTCCAGCAAAATCTCTGTGACTGATAGAAACGACCCCCTTCTCTCTGACTGTGCCTGCCCCAAGGAGCTGGGGGTGCTGCACTTGGCCCATCTGCTTCCCACTTTGCCTGAGAGCACATCTCTGGCACAGGGAGTCACTGTGGCAGCCTCAGAAGTGCACGCAGTGCTGGGCTCCACCAGCATAATTGGAGCCAGCTCCAGCCAAACCCAGCTGGGATGTGGAAGGAGAATTCCCGTGGTTCCCTCTTTCCTTGTCTTTTTCCCTTTGCCATGAGATGGGTCTTCTCTGAAGAAATGTAGTGCCATTAACTCAAGATTTTCCTTAGGATAACATAAATCAGGCAGACAGTTTGGCTCCAGGATGAACGTGCAAACGTAAGCAGGGCTGCACTGGTCACGCCATGGAGCTGTTGAGTGCGGGATCCTCTCCACAGCGTTGCTGGAGTGAGTGCTCTAGGAAAGGGCTGGAACAATGCAGGCATGGTGTGTATTGTCCTGCCTCTTCTCTGACAATCCATGGATGTGGTGAAAGGTTTATCTAGTGGGTGATCAGCAAATATTTTGTATCTTTGTTTGTCCATTTTTGAAGTGTCTTAGAAGCCACTGTGGTGCTAACTCAGAAAGGCTTGGGGATGTAAAGCTCTCTGCATGAGCTTTAGTAGAGGTCTCAGAAGTACAGGGAGGACATCTCACCATCAAAAAACACTGGAGAGAGGGGAGCACGATTCCCAGTTTTACAGGAGGGAGTGAAGAATTTAAATGGCTTATCCGAAATCTCAGTGGGTATCCTTAACAGAGCGTGGTGTTGTAAACAGATTCTCAGAGTCCTGTGATTGTCCAGCTTTCCTCTTTGATAATCATCCACACACAGATCTAAGTTAGGATGGGAACTGACCCTCGAGGAGCTAATGTGGAAATAAACTTAACTGAAGGGAAAGCCTTCCTTACTGTCCAGCTGGATGACTCTGCTGCAGAAGGAGGACATCGCCCAGGTAGAGAGGCCAACCAACAAAACCTGCTTTGGCAAAGTTTAGGAAATGGAAACATTGCTGAGGGCCCAGCTGAGGAAATACGATGCTGAAGGTGCTCAGAAAATCGAGATTTGTGGTGAATAACAGTGTCAGGGAACAAGATGAGAGTCTGGGACAGGATCTGGCTGTGCAGTCAGAAGGGAGAGGGTAGAGCTGCCAGCCATGTGGAAGGGATGGGAAAGGTAGGAGGGTGTATGGAGCTGGGCACTGAAACGGAACAGCCGAGATACAAGCACCAAGGGACAGCTCTTGCTCTCACTGAAGGGAATGGACTGACTCCCATTGACGTCAATGAGGACTGAACTGGGACCCTTGCGAGAAATATATTGAACACAGACAAATCCAGCAAAGTCAAAACAGATGATGCAGGCCGCTTAATGCAGTCACAGGGAGCTGATTGCGAAACCTCCTAACGAGGCAGTTCTGTCAAGCAGCCATCTCCAAGCCCAGTAGGCTCCAGCCTAGGAGAGGAACATGGAGGGTTGTGGTCCTGGAGAAGCCATGCCCAAGATGGAAGGCTGAAGTAGCATGGGATGGGTCCTTGTTGTGCTTCAGCATAACCCCACTGACCACCTAGTTTGTGTGACCTCCTTAACTACCTTACCATACCCCAAGTGCTTTTCCTTGAGCCTTCCCTGTCCCACTGACAAAGCTGTTCTGAAGCTGGAGGCACGGACAGACGGCGAGTTGTCACAGAGGAATATACTGCTGCACATCAGCTGGCAGTGGGGGGCATCTGTGTGCACACCCTTAATCCATGGCACATGCAAGTCAACTCGAGTTAGCCAACGTGACAGAACCGCACTAAGCTGGCTGAAATGACCTTATTTGCACGGACTAAGCGAATGCACATGGACTGCAGCGCTGACACGCAGGGACTGGTTACCGCGTGATAGCCTGTGCCTGTGTTTGCGCTCAGCCTGTGACTCATCGCCCCAAACTCTTCCCTTGCTGTGCTTCCCCATCCCTTGTTCCAGGTTCCCAGTGCCCGGTTTCCTCTGCGTCAGGGATGTCTGTGATCCTACCGCAGCCCCTTGTCTGCGCACAGAGCAATTTTGGCAGCTCCCCTGCTCTGTTCTGTGGAGTCTCAATGATCTCCTCTGGGTTCAGACCCTCTTAGTCCTCTTCTGAGGGTACTCAGACAAGCCAGCTCCCTGTGGAGACCCAGGTCATGGCTCTGAGTGTACCACCTCACTGCACAAACTCTCCAGCTCAGCATGCCTCCTTTAGTACCAGCACCTGCCTCTCCTCCATCTTTGCCCATGTCCCCCTCTTGGAGAAAGCAATAAGTCAAGATAAGGCTCTACCCTTAGAGAGCAAGAAGATGCAGAGCACCCTAGTGAGCTCAGCATCTTCTCTTTGCACAGTGGGAGTTTGGAAAAGGTGATGGAGTGGAAAGTAGAGTGCAATTCTAGTAACTAGTAACTCGTATAGAATACTGGTAAACAGAAGGAGCTGATTTTCTGTGTACTGCTGAGGATGTCGGCCTCTGAAAGGGACCTTGCTTGTCCCTGACCAAGCCCTGGTTTAGGCTGAACAGCAGAAACTTCAGTGCATCCACCCTTATCTCCACCATCTCAAAACAGAATTCAGTCCTGAAAGATCCATCTCCCCTAAACCTGGAGTTGCATGTCCTAGCTGTGGTATGAGAAAAGGGATCTAAATCAACTGATTTGTAGGTGGAAAATTCAAAGGAATGGGAAGAGAGCACCAGAATGGAGACAGGCAGGGGGCATTGTTGCTCTTAAAATGGTCCTGCACTGTATGTGCAGCTTAGATGTTTTGGGAAGAGTGGAATTTCACTCTTGATTTCCCCTGGATAGACTGGACTGAAACTTTGCCTTTTTTTCCCTGGATCCACTGAAACGGCAGCATCTTGGACAGGGACCAACTTGCTTGATGTAAGAGCAGTGCTTGGGGGGAACCCAGGCCTGGACACAGGGACAGTGGTAGACACGGGGACAGTTTACCTACAGCAGGCACTGAGGCATTGCTGAGCTTCCAGGAATGGAATGAGGAAAGCCAAAGTGCTGGAGCCAGCAGACATGAAAGACACCAAGAGGGGCCTCTTTTAAGTATGCCAGACACAAAATGAAGACTAAGAAAAGTGTTGGCTTGCTGCTTCCTGGGACAGTGGACCTAGAAACAAAGGGCATGGAAAAGGCAGAGATATTCAATACTTTTTTTGACACTGGGACTAATAATGTTTAGTGTCTTTTTTAATGGCTTAGAGTGCACTCTCAGCGAGACTGGGGACAACCAGCTGATACCCCAGAGGGCACAGATGCTGCTCAGAGGGCACTTCACAAGCTGTCGTCTGTCCCGTCCTGTGCATTTCAGGGCTGATGGCCTGGCTTTTCTCTGCCACCTGTGCTGCTCCTTTGCTTCTTGCTTCTGTTTCAGGCAGCACTCTTTCTTCAAAGATGGTGCAAACAAGCTTCCCCTCTCCAAGTGAGCAGCTGAAGGGACTGTGTTAGACTGGTCACACCTCAGAGACTGAGATTTGCACTGCGAGCCATGGTTTTTCCCACAGTGTCAGTATTACCAGGATGTAATCACAGCATTGCCACGTGTAAACTACTGTGTCAGCCTAATGTACTTTTGCTGGCCGAGGTGGGAAAGGGGCTGGGTCTGAGAGGAGGTGTGGGCTGGAAGGAACCCTGGTCTGGGTTAGCTCTCCAGCCACAGCCTCGTAGAGAGCTGCATCCATCTCCATGCAAACTGGCACATGGGGACTGTGTTCCCGGAGAGGAGCAACCAGAGTGGTTCACACTGTGTGGTGAGGTAAGGCTGTTTCAGAAGCACACAGTAAAACAGCAGCATCAGCATCACCACCTCCTTAGCTGTACCCAGCTGCACAGCAGTACAGGCAATACTGTGTCTTCCTGACAGTATCTGAGACAGTCTCCCCCCATCAGTGCTCCTACTTTTCCTGGCACATCATCGAGGGAGGTGTTATTATTTGTAAGACTAATTTTTCTCTCTCCCTTGTCTTTTTATAGCAAGTACTGCTCCTCTCCACGTCCCAGAAGCGTTCACCTCACTCAGCTATCTGTATGGGGATGTTTATTGACATGACAGCAGGCAGCAGGCAGTGCTGCCAACGTCAGTGTGTCCCGTGTCTGCTGAGGGCAGGCTGGGGCTGTCGGTTCTGTGTCTCCTGAGAGATACCAGGGCTGTTTGTTGACTTTGCCTTTGGCTGGTGTTAGATAAACAGTGAACTCGTATTATTTTTGTACTTCTTCCTATGGCCAGCTCAAGCACTGTAGTGGGCACATCAGTCACTGACATCAATTGTTTCCCCTGGATTTCCTTCTGAGTGTTTGGTGAGGCCTGGAGAAAAGACACCATATGTCTAAACCTCATCTGTAAGGGTGAGAAAATCCTGACCCTTCTGCTGTTCTGGGGCCTGGCCATGGTTGATGTTGCCTGGCATTTTTGGGTGCTGTTCTCCCGAGGTGGGGCATTGCTTCTTTCCATCAGGTACAGGTGTTCTCAGACATTCTGTTTATCAGTGGTAACTTCTTTGTTTTATGGTGGTGACATCCTTGGTGCAAAACCAGAGGCAGCAAACCTCCCCTCCCAGTGCTTTCTCTTCTCTGGTGGATCCTCCTGTGTCCTGGAAAATGTGAGTCCCACCCAAAATTCCTGCTTGAGGAAGCTCTGTGTGTTCTTTTCTGGTGTCTGATAGAAGCTGAGCTCTCACACAATTGGTAGAAAAGAGGGATCTCATGTCACACACACCGAGTCACACCAGGATCTCATGTCACAGGTCCAGTCAGATCATCAGCTTCTTGACGCCTCAGTGTGATTTGAGCGAAATTTGCTGATGGGCTCCGAGCTGTTGGCGATGGATGAACAAACACAAATGGTATGATTGCTTAAGTTTTGTTTCCAGTGGAAACCAGGGTGAAACAACCAGCTCCACCATTCCCTACGGGATAACTTGTGACCAAAAGCATTGCAGAGGTAATGAGAACAATGCTTCCTGGTTCCTGGATGGGATCTTTTGTTGGTGTAAGCTTGTTCTGTGCCATTGGAACCAGCTGACAGATGCTGACGTTCAGCAGCTGGACTGAAACCGCATGTCCTGCTGCACCGGGGTTTCAAAGATCAGGTACTCAGGGGAAAAACTGGGTGAAGAAATGCTTGATCTTGGGCTTCTGACAACAGAGAGCAAGACCTGCTGACACAATGGGGACACAGAAGTGAGGTGCTGCAGTCTTTCAAAATGACTAAACTGGCCCTGGTGGGGAAGGGCTTGCTCAAGACAGGTCCTTCCCACTGGACACCAGCGAGAAGAAGGATGAAGATGCTGAGAGAAGTGATCCAAATAGTTTGTCTTTCCTGACTACCTAGGACTTTTGTCTATGGGAGTAAAGTAACAGCTGGGGTTCAGCCTCTGCAGCACAGCAGAATCATAATATCTTAGAATGTTTTGAGTTGGAAGGGCCCCACCAGGATCATTGAGTCCAACTCCTGGCCCTGTATAGGACACCCCAACAATCCCACCATGTGCCTGAGAGCATTGTCCAAATGTTTCTTGAACTCTGCCAAGTTTTGTGCTGTGCCCACTGCCCTGGGGAGCCTGTTCAGTGCCCGACCACCTTCTGGGGGAAGAACCTTTTCCCAATATCTGCCCTAAACCTCCCCTGACAGAGCTTCATGCTTTGGTTCTTCACCTTGCATCAATAAATTATGCCTAAACTATGGGATTAGAGCATGTCACAGTTTCCTTCCAGGCTCTATGTCCAGCTTTCCTTCTCCCAGAACTCAGCAAGGGAGAGGGCAGGTCAAACAGTCTGTAGTTGGTGTGAGTGATCACAATCAGCATCCTCTGAACCACAAACACAGTGAGCAGAGATGCTGCCCTGGTGTGATTCAAGGCTCTTTAAGAAGAAAGAACAGAGGAGATAAGGACAACCAGTCAAAGAGTCCTTGGAAACATAAACAGAACAATACAAAGTGAGTTACTGCTCAGTTAGGAAGAACAACTGCTGCAAGCAGCAAAGGTGTTTCTAGACAAAGAACTGCAAACATTTTAAAAGGGAGCCAGAATAAAGACACCACGAGCAACTGAGCAGGCTGTGACCTCCTCTGAGCCTGAAAGAGGAGAGTTGGCAGAGCTCCCCAGCATATCATTTCCACTTTTCTGATGCTCTGCAAACATCTGCCCAGCACCCTGAGGTCTTGCTGAAGGTGGGGTGTGTCACTGCTTAGGGCTGCGTGTGAGTCCAGGACAGCGCCTGACTGCTCAGCTCCTGCTGCCTGGGCTGACTAACTTTCAGTGGCACTGGGTGGGAAGGATGACTGTGCTATCCTGCTGTGGAGCCATGACGTGATTTG